AATGTCAAGCCATCTATGAAATTCTTGCAACAGAGTACAACTGCCTTTCCATATTAGGACAATATTATCATCAATATATTTCCACCATATAGATTTATTTATTTAGATTTGTAGTATTCCTCTCTGAATATATAAATTTCTCCTCAAATTGACCCATATATAAGTTAGCCATATCCGGAGCCATAGAGGACCCCATGGCAATATGTTAAATCTGCCAAAAGATTGTTTTCATTGAATGAAACATAATTCTTGGTTAATATTAGTTTGGCCAGTGCCACAAGAAAGAATGTAGGTGGATGGTGATTTTGTCTCTACATCAATGTATTTTCTATAACTGACAGTGCTTCTTGTTGTGGAATATTTATATATAAGGAGACCACATCTAAAGTTACTAGAAGAACATTGGCATCAACATATTTCAAATAGCCCAATAATTTATTAATAAAATTGTTGGTGTCCTTAATATACGATGGTAACATTGGTACAAAGGGTCTAAGGAAATATCCTACATATTTGGAGATTGGTTCAAGGACTGAATCATAACTTGAGACTATAGGTCTTCCTGTAGGGGGAGTTTTATTTTTATGGATTTTTTTGGCAGAGTATAAAACACAAGTGTTTTAGGATGTTCTTTATCTAAAAAAACCACTTTCCCATGTTGAAATATACCCCATATTCACACCCTCTTCCAGCAAGGTTCTAATCTGATCATTCAGTTGTCTAAACGTCTTTGCTTCATATTCCTCCTTATTTTGTATGACTATAGCTTCCTTGTTTATGATGGTCTGGTCCTGTGCCAATGTACTTAACATGTTCATTTAAACTGAACGAAGCAGGTTTGTTATGCTTCTCAGATTGTTCAAGGTCTTGGACTATTTTATTTTCAAAAACTTTGATAGTAATTGGCACTGGATCTTGTGGCATAAAATTAGATGTCACAGAAAAGGGAGAAAATAGGGCAAGACTTGGCTGTCTTTTAAAAATGCCTTCAGCCTCAGAATTCCAATGAACCTAAAATATCTAAGCACATGTCCACAGGGTCATATCTAGGAGTAGGTACAAAAGACAAGCCTTTATTTAGAATGCTGTTCATATTCTGATAAAATCCTGTATGAGGGATTAACAACTAAAGAGTTTCAGTTTTCTCCTGAAAATATTCTTCCTTTTGCTGGATAATATCCTTCTGCCGGGGCTTGGGGATGAGCCTTGTTCCAGAAAAGATGATGACGAGGCCAAAGTGGCTGGTCTGTTTTAATACATGTTCTCTTCTCCTCTGCTGTTTTATGATATATTTTACTTTGAGCTAACTAAATTGCTACAGCAATCTAAGAATTATAACTTTATACTCCTTTGTCATGAGACTAATATATATATGATTCCTCTGTGTTTGAAAAATGAGTGGCTAAAAGCCCTCACCTTTCAGTTCTCAAAGAGGAGAATTTTGCTTGGCGTAGCTTGGAGCTATGAATTGAGTACTCTTATATCCCCGTTACACCATCCAGACCATCCCAGTAGTGAAAGAAACTCTTATAAAAAAGGAAATTTGACAGAAAATATATGCATCAAGAAATCATGTATTATTTTCATTAAATATTCCAAGGGTAGAGAAGAGGATTTTACTCAGAGTTGGTGTGCATTCAATATTTGCGGAAAGTGCAGAAACTGGTGAACTGGCATTGACTGCAAACGTCAACATCCTATACTTTCAACATTTTTTTCTGATAGAGCAGTATTCTAGCTCTTAAAGGCAGGGTGTGCAAATATCTGTGTGTAAAAATGGAAAATCAAGTGTTGGGGCCTGTTCTCAACAGCTTTCTCCTTTCCTATGGCTAACTGGCAAAGAATAAACTATCCAAATCAAACTTTTTTTTTTTAGAAAACACCACTTTTCTACTGCATCTAATAATGAAGTGAGTAGCTAGTTATAATCACAAAATGGGACGGAGACAGTTATAATCACAAAATGGGACAGAGACAGCACTGGTCGCTCTTACGGACGACCTCCGGAGACATCTGGATCAGGGCGGGACGGCAGTGCTGCTGCTGCTGCTAGACCTGTCGGCAGCGTTCGACATGGTCGACCATCAGCTGCTTGCCCACCACCTCACTGACATGGGGATCCAGGGGCTCGCCTTACAATGGCTTGTCTCCTTTCTTCAAGGTCGGGGACAAAGGGTGGCCATTGGGGAGCAGCAGTCCCGAAGGCGCCCACTAGTATGTGGTGTGCCCCAAGGGGCTGTGCTCTCCCCGATGTTATTTAACATCTATATGCGCCCCCTTGCCCAGATTGCCCGGAGGCATGGGCTGGCTTGTCACCAATATGCGGATGACACCCAGCTCTATCTGATGTTGGGCGGTCAGTCTGACTCTACCCTGGAAGATCTGGACCAGGCGTTAAAGGACGTGGCTGGATAGCTTAGACTGAGTCGACTGAAATTGAATCCAACAAAGACGGAGGTCCTGTGCCTGAATCGGAGCGGTACGGGGGTAGGGATCCCACTCCCAGCCTTCGGTGGGGCGCCATTGGTGCCAGCTCCGAGGGTCAGGAGCTTGGGAGTGCTCCTGTATGCCTCCTTAACAATGGAGGCCCAGGTAGCAGCCGCTGCCAAGGCAGCCTTTTACCATCTTCGGCTGATTAGGCAGTTGGTTCCCTTCCTCGAACGCAAGGATCTGGCTGCAGTGATCCATGCTATGGTCACCTCGAGGTTGGACTACTGCAATGCTCTCTACATGGGGCTGCCTTTGGGGCAACTCCGGAAGCTGCAGCTGGTGCAGAATGCGGTGGCCAGGCTGCTGATGGGTCTCCCCAGATAGGAGCATATCCAGCCTGTGCTTAAGACTCTGCACTGGCTGCCAATAGCATTCCGGATTCGCTTCAAGGTGCTGGTTTTGACCTTTAAAGCCCTTTATAGTCAGGGACCGGCCTACCTGAGGGACCGCCTTTCCCCGTATGTTCCCCGAAGAGCACTGCAATCAGGATCCCAAAACCGCCTGGACCTCCCTGGCCCAAAGAAAGTCAGGTTGATGGTAACCAGGACGAGGGCTTTTTCATTTGCAGCTCCGTCCTACTGGAATGAACTTCCTGCCGAGATTAGAGCCCTGCGGGACTTGTCACAGTTCCGCAGGGCCGTGAAAACAGAACATTTTTAGGCAGGCGTTCCGATAGGAGAGATGGCGTACCAGCAGCGCCCTGTGTGAACTTCGATCCAATACGATCTAATGTGGGGGCACCGTTGAATGTGTCTTTAAACTGCACTTTAGTTTTATCGCCATCTAATGAATGTTTTATATAGATTGTTTGTGTTTTAACTGATGCTTTGTATTTATGTTTTATTGTGTATGAATACTGCTTGTCAGTTTTGGAAGCCGCCCTGAGCCCGCTTGCGGGGAGGGTGGGGTAAAAGTGGAATAAATAAATAAATAAGTACCCAAAATGTGTCACCCACAGACAAGATAGTTTTCTACACAAGAGACTCACTAAATATGCAATGCATGTAATTGTAAAGTAGCCAAGGGAGATACAATAATGCCTAAAGACAAAGCATGTTCCTATGAATCATTGGAATACTGAAAGCAGATGAGTGTTAATGGAGAGGGAGCATAGTCATAAGAAAAACTTGCCAGCTCCAGTCCCTGATTTACTAGAATCTGGGGTGGGGGGTGGGGTAGATTTGTATGAAAGTGAATTTTCCAAACTATTTATTCCTTTCAGCCGTTGTATATACATACAGCAGCTGGAATGTGTTGCTTTGTTTTAAACCTCTGCAAAAGATTGAAGGTCAAAGAAGACGGGGACGGCAAAGGATGAGATGGTTGGACAGTGTCATCGACACAACGAACATGAAATTGAGCCAACTTCAGAGGACAGCGGAAGACAGGAGGGCCTGGCGGGAGCTGGCCCATGGGGTCGCGAAGAGTCGGACTCGACTGTGCGACTGAACAACAAAGCACCATCTAGAAGTAGATGGTTCTCAGTGGCTACTTTGGGCCCTTTGCATCAGTACAGAGAGCAGCTAGATGTGCCTTATTGTCAAGATAAGACAAAAGATGGGACTTGTGATGTGAGGGGCATTCAGTGATTATGTTGTTGTGTACTTGGGGGGAAATGGATTAAAGGTGAAGAACCACTGACCTAGAGCTTAAGTAGAACTCCATTTCCCAGAGCAGCAGAGGTTTTTTGTGTGTGTGTTTGTGCAAGGACTGGAGACCTAACATGACAACAGTGATGTTGATGGCTCTCTGGGTTCATGTCCCCTTCCTTCGACAGACTTGTGATCCTGAAGATTTAAAGGGTAAGAAGTGCAGCCTTAAGGCTATAGCCAATGACCAGTGCTGCTGCTGCCCTACTACACAAAAGAAGAATTGGGAAGGTAGATGACATTCTCTTTGACTGGTACAAAGACAGTTCTTATGATGCCTTTAAGCTTCTGTAGGATTTGTCAACAGCTATAGAACATCAGGCTCTTCATTTGTGGTCAGTGGCCTGATGTTTTCATCATGTTGCTTGCCTCTAGGTTCCTTGCTATAATTAAATGCACAAGTCGATTATGCATGTTAAGAGAATTTATATAGATGGTAAAGCTGTGCAGCTCACAAGATCACACCTTGCTTCACTGCAACTTTCTAGCTCCTAAACATGGTTGATTCCTGTGTGTTCCTCTCGCCTTGTAAGTTACTGTGTACGTCAAGGTCTGGAAGACCTTTAAATGGTTGCCGGTAAATTCCTGAAATCAGTGAAAACAGTGGGTTTTGCAAATACTGTTGTGCAAAATCCAAGGCTGCTGTGTGCTGTAATGTGCACATGCAGACTGCGGAACAGACTTGACCCATTGGCTATTGCACATCAACAGGTGGGGTGTAAGCTGAGACTCTGACTTGTGCCCGAAAGGGGGAGGCTGGAGGGCAGGGTGGCTCAATTACAAAATCTCATGGCAAATAGCATGAGCTGAGCATCCTCAAAATAGCTGGAGGGAAACTATATAACAGGAGACACCACTGGGAACTGTCAGTCCTCAACAGGCGATCATCACATCTGTGTAGTCTTGTTCAAGGGAAGTTCTGAGAAGGACGGAACACCATAGCAATCATCCCCCTCAGTTTCTTAGGGTGGAGAGGACCATTTCAGACCCGAGGGTTTGTTGTATTTTGACACCTCAAAGGAGCTTATATCTGTGGGGTGCTGTGCCTCCTTTTGTTCCTGGATACTTCTTGCCCTACAGATCCTTTGTTCTCCCTCTTGGTTCCATAGCACTCTGCCACCATGAAGTATTACTATCCAGCTGCACCCCCCAGGTACAGGAGGTACACAAGAGGCCTGAAGACTGTGCGTTTCTCCAATGATGTTGTCTTCCAGGACAATATCCGGCAAGGTGACCTGGAGCAGGTGGGGCGTTTCATCCGTGCCAGGAAAGTCACCTTGGACACTATCTACCCCTCTGGTAAGTAGGTGGTGGTTGAAAATAATGAAGTATTGGTAGCTCCCTCATCCCAGGGGCAGGCTGTGGGTCACAAACTAGATCACGGCTTTTTTGTGTGTGTGAGAGGAAGGGAGGTGTCTAATTTTTCTCTCCCTCACTCAATAAGCACTAATATAGGCAAGTGTACAACCTGGGTTCCCTTAGAGGAATCACCTTAGTTATCCCCTTGGAATTGGGAACTACTTAAGAGTATGATATAGACATGCAGATATCTTTCTGGTTGAGGGAATTTAAGCCCTTAGTTTGTAAAGAATCCTGTTTTTGCGCAGGTAAACTTAAGTATATAATCAGGACTACCTGAGCTGGGAAAGTTTGGGGAACATCCCCCAAATGACAGGATGAGCAAGCAAATAAAATTACTTGCCAGACAAAATACTCCGGGGAGGGGTCAGAACTGGCTCAAAGACTGGATTGTTGTCCCCAGCAGCCCTTTCCTCTTGCCACTCTGTGTCTGTGGAAAACTGCATCTGAAAAGCTGAAGTGTGAAATTTCGTTTTGTAACCATACAAGTTACAGCTGTTGTATCCAAGTATATAGGCAGTAGGAATGTTGTGCTTATGTACTGGTGCTGTTTATCACTCTCCCTTATAAAAGACCATAGAAACGTGGTGCAGTGTGTCCTAGTGCTGGGTGCTGCCCTCAATTAATGGTTTAACAATTTAATTCCCCAAAAGGCTCCCAGATTCAGCCCTAATTCAAGGAATCCTGACTTTCGTATGTCCATGCGGAGGACCTTACTCCAACCCTTCCTCCCTGGCCAGGTCTATTTTACCCCACCGGACTTATTGAATAACAGGAGCCACATTTGTTTTTCAGATACGTTCAATGTCCCAGCCCTGTTTTGTGGGGGAAATATTCCTGTGTAGCTAGTAGGGATGTTTCTTTCCTTGATTCCCAGACCTCTTCTCCCTTCCTCTGTGGATTTACTGTCCCTTGGACTACCTTGCCACCATTTTAACACTGCAAATGCCTGCTGAGAAAAGTCCTCACAGCTAGGTTCCATGAGTTTGGCTGATCTATTCCCCTTTCCTGTTAGGTATGGCTGCCCTCCATGAAGCTGTACTTTCTGGGAATCTTGATTGTGTTAAGCTCTTAGTGAAATATGGTGCTGACATCCATCAGAAAGATGAGGACGGCTGGACACCGCTGCACATGGCCTGCAGTGACGGCCATGCTGACATTGCAAGGTCAGAGCTGCCAGTTTGTTAAACCTCTTTTCTAAATTAGAGCTCCTCACTCCATTGTGCCATCTCCTGGCTGCCAGTCTGTTGGTCTCATGGTCAAGAAGAACTGGGGAGGGAAGTTATTTTGCCTGGCTGAGGCTTGAGATGCTGAAAAACAGTGCCTGCTGGATCAGAACATGATATGTGTGTGTGCGTGTTTGCGTGTGATGACAGGGCCAGAGTCAGCATACCTTGAGGAGGGGAAGCTGCCAAGGCTTCTGGTGAAGTTCACTGCTGAGAAACCCCCAGACACATGCACCACCCAACATCATCAAGAAAGAGTAGTTGGAGGGCTTTCCAACAGATAGGGGAAAAGAGGTGCAAGTGTGGCCCAGTTGTGAGCATAAGAAGGAGGGGGCCACAGGAACCCTTTCCCTGCCCTCCCAACCTGGAACTGGGCCAGCCCTGGCTGGTGATGACTCTGTCCTAGGGTTACTATTTCTAGGTTGGGAAATTCCTGGAGATTTGGGGGTGGAGACTGGGGAAGGTAGTGTTTGGGGAGGGGAAGGGACCTCAGTGGGATATAATGCTATGGTGTCCATTCTCCAAAAAGCCATTTATTTCCAGGGAACTGATCTCTGTCATCCTGGAGATGAAGTGTAATTCTGGGAGGTCTCCAGGCCCTACCTGGAGGTTAGCAACCATGGAGGCTGTGCCACTTCACAACCTCTTCGGTTTCTCCATACAATTTTGCAAACTAATGCAAAGGGCAAAGTTAGTGTGAACCTTCCTATTTAGTCATTTTCATGATTCTGGCTGCACTTTTTCTGCCAGTTGGAATTGCCAAAAATAGATCCTGTTTGTGCGTGCAGCCTAGAGCACACTCATACCTATATTATCTGTTGATGTGATTGTAAGGAGGGATTTGGCAGCTGTAACTAGGGCTCTGATATGAATGTAATAATTTCTTGTTGCAATGCCATTAGTATTGAATCACCAGGGCCTCCCCCGGGTTCCTGCAAAATAAGACGATCGCAGTGGCAGTGCTGCTTTATTTAATTGGAAAAGGCCAGGTCACACTCCTCTGCTGCATCTTCTGTCACCATTGCCTCTCCTCATCTCATTTTTCTTTGATACCCACAGATACCTCATCTCTCTTGGAGCCCAACTAGATGTCACCAATGATGAAGGGGAGAAGCCATCTGACCTTATTGACCCTGAATACAAGGACCTTGTGGAGCTTTTCAAAGCAACTCGGATGGACTGAACTTGTACCTTCAGTTCTTTACTACATGGAATCCAGTCTCTGTGCTCGGCAGGAAGATCTGCTGAGTGCCTGAAGGAGGCTGGTAAAGCTGACATTAGCCCCTGCTAGGCTGGCTAGGGAAACTATGGCCTCTAAAAGAGGCCACAGTTTGGTTGTGATATGTGTGTAAAAGACTGGCTACTTAAAGGTTTCTCAGAGCTATGCTTGGGAAATCCCATTCAGAGTGAAATATATTTTTATTATGGCCCACTTCTTGGTACCTGATGGGGTCAGGCTTTGACTAAGATGGTTATAATGAAGAGGACATACAAGTCCTGGCGTCACTGTTGTGTGAGAGGTTTACAGCATTGGTTATGTGTTGAACCAGACTGGGTACCAATTTGTACAAGCATATATTTTGCGATACTCGTTTGCAATTACTCTGATGTTGAATCTCTGCCCACATTGAAGCAGTTTTCTTGAGAGATACAGCCACTCCAAGAAGAATACAATATCCAAGAAGAATGCAATATCCTGCCAAGAAAACAGACCCAACTTCAAGCTGGTATTTCATTGTTGTAAATATGGACAATCCAAGCACTGTTGTGTATAAAGTCTTATTTTCCATGTTTGTGCACCCTAGACTTGCTTTTCTACTGTATTTTTATGTGATTATGAAACAGTCTTTTATTTTTACAATAAAGTAATTCCTAAACTCTTGTATTCTTTTTCTTCCTTCTGTTTGCCTAAAGGGGGATAGCTGTTCTTCTTGTCCAGCTGCTTCCCCTGAATTACTTGAGTTGTGTATGGGAGCCCTTGGTCTCTTCCTTAGCAGTACCAATATCCATATAGGGAGGCAATCCTTTATCAGTACCAAAAGACAAGAGAAAAATAGAAGCAAATGGAAATTAGGAACCATTCTCCACCCGAGTTCTCATTCATAAAATTCTGGCTGCCTAATGCTATAGGATGGAATGTATGGACCACCTTACCCACAGTGCTCTTACTGGACACAGATCCAGTTGGGCCCTCCCTTATTTCCTGTAAAAGGTTGCCACTTTAATGTTTTTGTAGGAACTACCATATGCAAAGTGCTAAGTGAAAACTTTTCTTGGCAGAGGACAGAGTACAGTCAGTAAAAAGAAGAATTAACTAGGATACTCATGTGTGGGACTTTCTGTGTCTTTCTTCCCCATACGACCTCCATGTTATCCTACTGGTCAAATTCCAAACAGAGTGAGACCCTTCTAAGTTCATTGAAATAATTGTGCTTAGAAGGTGTAACCCTATGCTTAGGACTGCATCGTTAAAGCCCTATTACAGAAGGTCTTCCTCCTTCAAAATGACATGAGCTGGCTATAGTAATGACTTAAGGTAGATATTTTGTGCTTTTTATTTTTTAAAAAATTTCTATACTGTTATATAAATATTGGTGTTACGTATTACCAAACATAGGTTTCACCCAGACAATACATCAAAGTGCAGGTTTACACTATGTTCATTGGGATTGTGAAACTGACAAGGTGCTGTTTAAAATGTATTTATTTATTTATTCCCCGCCCTCCCCACCTAGGCAAAACAAAAAAATGTTTGAACATAGTGTAAACCTGTACTTTGACGTATTGTTTGGGTGAAACCTATGCTTTGTAATACCTGACACCAATACTTATATAACAGTATAAATGTTTTTTTTAAGAAAATAAAAATAAAAAGCACAAAATAGATCTACCTTAAGCATACATCTATTATACACAGTGTCATATACTTTTCCATATCTTCCTAACACTGTGACCCTCAGTTTTTGTATTATTTAGTAATGACTTGGCAAACAACTTGACAAACAACACCGCAAATGTGTAGAGCTTATCTGGTGGCCCGTCTTAATGCTCTCCCCTCTGCTATTCTTGAGGGGAGATATAAGCAAATTCCTTATTCAGTCAGGTTCTGTGGATGTAATAGAAGAGAAATAGAAACTGTTGAGCACGTACTCTTACACTGTAAATTGTTAAATGACATTCGAGTGGAATTTATAGAAGCCCCCCTTAGGTTGGTAGCAGGCCAATCGGATAGAATCAAGGTACAATTTCTCCTTGCTTCACAAGATCCAGAGATCATTGAACTGACCGCTAAGTTTCTCCATGGTTTTATAAAACGGAAGAGTGACCCTGATCATATTAATGATTCTTAATTTATAAGTCTAAAAACTTAAGTTTAAAAGTTTAGAATGCCAATTTATTTTATGATTCAGGCATCTTTTGTATGGTCAAATCTAGCTTGTGACAACTTGAGTTAGGCCTGACATAGCCACAACTATCTATTTTATAATTTCTTTTGGATTGTATTATTGGTAAATGCTTCTAATACTGTATGCCAATAAAAGGTATTTGAATTGAATTGAACTAAGGTACTAGGGTCAGAGAGAATAGAAATGGTATTTCTTTGTGACAGGTCAAATGTTGTTGGTTGGTCCATACACAAAGATGGCTTTTAAGAGCTATGAACTGCATTTTCTTAATCGGATAGGTGGGTGCTCTCCAGTTGCCCCATCATGTATCACAAAAGCAGAAGAAACTATGCAAAATAAGCAAATATAAATTTGCATCACTGTCATAAAGTTTTAACTTTTTAAATGTAAAACTACTAGGATTGAAGATAAATACCAACTGCAATCTGATATGTCATAGGAATGGTTGCTAACAGACCTGGAGAAAAATGTCCTGCCTCTTTAATAGAGGCTTAATGTGTAGCAATCGGCACTTGACACTTTTCAAGGCATGGACGTAAATAGTATGGAGGTAAACCTAGTGGGATAGTAGGGCAGGGTATAAATAAAATAAATAAATATTATCATCTGGTAAATAACATCCCATTGAGTCTCTATTAAAGGGACAAGACAGTTTTTCACCAGGTAGTTGGTGACCTACTGATAGGATGGTTGTTCAGGCTCTCTTCAGATTGGGTAAGCATTTGTTAAATTTAAATAACTTTTCCAGGAAATTCTTGTAACCCTAGCAGAAAGGCTACAGCTGGAGTTATGGTGAACTGGCAAGGTCCCCCCATAGTTTCCCCTCTCTCCCAAGAATAGTTCAAGGGCACTTAAATGCTGCTGCTGCTGGTTTATGAATGGGTAGTCAATAAGGTTCATGCCTTCAAGTTTCAGTTTTAAATTCATTTTCACAGGCCATTCTGTATGCATGTGTGCATGGGGTAGGGAAAATGGACAAATAAAATCAATCATAGTTTTGTTACCCTTTCTGACTTAACCCTAAACACCACAGGCCAACCCAGACAACTATAACACAAAAAGCAGAAGCAAGCTGTTTTCTGATTGAATGTGCATTCTAACCACGGGAAATGTTTTTGAAGGCCCCAGCGAACATGTCTTAAATTCAGTATTACAAGCTTGGTAAATTAGCATGGAGGGGCGGGAGGTTTGTTGTGAGAATAGTATGTCTAATTATGCATCAGAGCCGCCCAACACACCGAAATGGGATCCAAAAATGTTACTGCAAACCTATTCTAAGCTTTGGAAACTATTATTTTAGGGCACTCTGCCCTATGATTACCCTACCCCCACTCATAATGTGTAGAACGTCCGTCCGGCTCTAGGCACTGATGATGCTGACTGCCAAAACTCATGCAGAAAAGGAACCCTTCCTCTCTAAGGGAGCCTTCCTCGCGTTCTGACAGCTGCCCCATCATCCCATTTCTCGGAAACCCCCCTCTGCCGGAGCTTGCCCCCACGCCGGTTTCCATGGATACCCCCTTTCCCCCCCTCCCCGTCGTTCCATTTCCATGGAAACCCTCTCCCTCGGGTACACCGTACAGGGGCTGTCCGGACCCATTCACCCGCAGTGCGCATGCGTAGCCCGGCCTAGGCGCTCTCTTCCGCCCCGGGCCTGGCAGCAACTAGAGGTACGGGGACCGCCCCGGGCCCAGGTAAGGAGAGGTGGGGTGAGGCTAAACGGGGGGTGAGTGGGGCCCATAACAAACCCCGCTGCCGAAAACGGGCACCGTAGCTATTAAGTTACTCCCGTAGAGTGAGTCTCTTCTGCTTGGTATGGGCCTAGTATGCTGCCAAGCCCACGTCGGTTCTCTCGTAGAGAGAACGCGAGAGACAATCAGCTGTGGCTGGCTGGCTCCCCCACCCCCTCGTCCCTCACGGTAGGTTGCTCTTCCCTTTATGGGATGGCGGGAGGTATCGAGGGAAGCAGGAGGCGAAGGAGAGCTCAGATTCACAGATGCCTCTGGGACTGGGGCCCTATGAACAGGCGGGAGCGGCTGTGGGGTTCTGAAATAGCTGGTAGCCTTTAGGACTCTTGACCTAATGGTAGGCTGGGGAAGTGTGGGGAAGGTGTGAGGAAATGCCTGCAATCCCAGTACCAGTTTATATACCACTGTCTATAAACGGCAACGTTTCTTAGGTGCTGGTATCACCGCTTAAACTCTTGGTGTAGTTTCCCTTTACTTCTGGACTTAATGAGAGTCTGTCTTTGTTCCAGCAACGCCAACCCACACATTCAGTGTTTGGGCCAGGGCTGGGCAAGAGGCAGCCATGACAAGGTGAGAAAGATGATGGGGTTATTAGGATTGAATTTCTGTGTCAAGTAAACTGGCGGAATATCTGGCTTCATATGTCTTTGTAGATTTTAACCTGGACTCTGACTCTAGATTTGATTTGATTTTTCCTGATGGGATCGTAAGACTAGTTGTGTGGCTAGAAGTGTCCTGTTTTGCTGTCTACTCACTGTCCTTGGGTATGGACAGTAAAAGTAATAAGACACTAGGAAAGTAACCTCTAGTCAGTAACTAGTTGAATGGCTAATGTACTGGACTTGGAGTCTTATTCCAATTTATGCATGGACTTGCATAGTAGCTTTTCACTTCCTTCAGGTTTCTGCTCTTTATCTACACAGTAATCCACCTTGCAGAGTTGCAAAAAAAATGAAAAACACAAGAACTTTAAAGCCTCTTGCATATGACAAGGTATCACATCAATGAGAATTAAACAGAGAATAATCCCAGTCTGAGTGAGTCGTACTTTATTTAAAGTTTAAATAACAGAGCTAGAGGATTATTGATCCCTTTGCCAGGACCTTATTATAAGAGTTCCTCTTTTGCTTCATTGTGGCGAGGATCAGTATCTTGTCTCATCTTTCAGCGAAGTTTCTCTCTTTGCTTCTAGCTCCCCTGTTTCCAGAGTTGTTTACAATGGCAAGAGAAATAGCAGCCCTCGCTCCCCAAGCAACAGCAGTGAGATCTTCACTCCTGCACATGAGGAGAATGTGCGCTTCATTTATGAAGGTCAGTTATGCCTGAGAAGGCTGACCCAACAGTTGCTGCACCTTCTTGGACTCCCGTGGCACCCCACCCCACCTCCTACTCTGTGTCTTGCCTTTCTTCAGCTTCAGTATTTTTTTCCTGTTCGTATCTTTACAATGTGTTGGCATATGAAAAATGGCTGAAACTGAGTTTTTATAATATCAGAACATTTGAAAATGGGTCTTACGCTTGGGACTGACGGGTCATTGTTGCTAGTTCTATATGGTTGAGCTTCTGATTTCATATCCAATCATGCAAAGGTCATTGCCTCCCTTCTGTCTTACTCTCATCTTAAGGATGTTCACAGTAGTAAAGGTGCACTTAATGTCCAGGGTGCCAAAGTCTGTCTGGGTCGAGAGAGTGTTTTACTTAGTCTCTGTATGGAGGTTGTCTGATCTGTTTTCCTTTTCTACAGCATGGCAATGTGTGGAGCGGGATCTCCGCAGCCAGATGGCAGGTGGTGAACGGGGACTTGTGGAGGAGTATGTGGAAAAGATACCAAACCCCAGTCTGAAGGGTAAGTTCTCTTTTGCCACAGACATGTTTGTGCTATGCAGTGCCAAATTTGGAGGCTTTGTTAACATCTTAAAATTTTTGGTTTGCTTTTTAAAGAACGAACGAATGAATATAAGCTTTTAATTATATGATTCCAGGCACAAATGGAATTCTTCTACTGAAGGCTCAGAAATCAAAGTGAATGGGGGGTTCTCTAGGAGGTGTTTGGAACATGGGACCCCTCCCCAAGATCCCAATTTTTTTCTCCCTGTGTCTTCCCATCCATTGTCTTCATTCTCCATATGGCCTTCAACCTTTGCAAAAAAAAAAAAAAGGCTTAGATTCATGCCATAAGAGTGTGAGCAGAGTGCTTTTTGATTGGACCAAACTTTAATGTACTCCAGCATTCTGTTTCTTACAGTGGCCCAATAGATACCTCCAGAAAGCAGGTCATGAAGGTTTTCCCGAGCATCTGTTGCTCAGAGGTATGCTGTCTCTGACCATGGTGCATATTTAATTAACATGGCAAATAGCTGTTGATAGTCCTGTTCTATTTCAGTTAATGTATTAGGAAATTTCTGGCTGCAGAATATATATTACAATCCTATATTGAATGTAACATCACCTGAATGTAGGTTGTGAGATTCACTGTGAAGATGGATCACAGCCTGTTGAATTCAACAGGGCTGGGTAGAGGAGCCAGTTCACTCCAGTTAATCACATGTTTCTGTTTTCCTGTGGCTGGAGTGAGAATTTAGAGTAGTAGTGGTCAAGTTGTGTTGGGGGAGTCAAATATTCTTGTTCTGATGAATAACATAAGAAAAGCTCTGCTGGATCAGACCATCTAGTCCAGCATCCTGTCTCACACAGTGGCTAGTCAGTTCCTCTGGATGGCTAGTGAACAAATTGATAGAAACGAATGTGGATGGTAAAGAGTCTTACTCTAAACTGTCTCTCCTTTCTTCTTTTTTGACAGCATTCAAACCTGTTGATTTGAGTGACCTAAAGCGGCGGAATACACAGGATGCTAAGAAATCCTAAGGTGGCCTGGCATGGCCCAGCCCCAAGTTCTGGCACGTGGCCACTGATACATGAATTTGATGACTTTGTGTTGGTTTCCTCCTTTGGTCTGGATTGTGTCTGGGGCTGGCTCTGAACTCTCTAGGAAAGATAGGCTTTGTGCCTTTCCTTCACAGCATCCCCTGGCCTGGGCTGCCTGCCTTCATTCTGCAATTGGCCCCAGGAATTCTCCTTTTTCCCTAGTAAATGACATTTTGCTCTGATGGTGGCCAAGAGACTGGTGTGTACTCTGTTATTTTAAGAGTGTGGAATAAGGCAGAATGGAATCAGGAGCAACCTGACCTATTTTCTCCCTGAACTCCTCTCAAGGTCCAGCCTTTCTTAGGAAGCGGCCAAGGGAAGACAATGGGATAGAAGCAGTAAGGGTTTCTGTGTTCCATCCTGCCATTTTCAGTGTGGGAATTTAAAATGGTAACGCAACACAAATACCTGAACTTTTCTCAGGTGAATGAAAAGGTGTTGTGCTGCAGCCTCTTTATGCATGTGTTCAGCTCCTTGGGGCAACGGTGGGGGAGAACAGAAAACAGAAGCTGAGAGACCCAGGTACCATGTTCCCCAGAGGGCAAACTCTTTTAAGGTTACTTCAGTATGGGATAAAATGGCACCCTGTGCTGAGGAGATATTTCATGTAGTGCTGTCTCTATGCCCTGCTGACTTGCAGCCCCAGCCAGGGGGCAGGCAGTATTTCTGAGCTAGCCCCAGAGCCCAGCCCTGTGCCCCAGCAGTGCTGGGGAATAGCCTTAGTGTGTGCTGGGCACTTGCAGGTGACAGAACCGCCTGTGCTTGTGTCCAGCCCAGACACTGATGTTGGGGACCCTGCCCAGAGTGGGTAGGCGAGGGGCATGGTGGCTGTTCCTTTCCCTTTGTTATGTCCTCTCTTGGTCTGTGTCTGTTGTTAAGGAGTGTTGTAAATAAAAGCTGGTTAGTCATTTTGATATTCCTTTCTGAGAATCTGTCTTGCATTCCTATGAATGGGGCTTAGTTACCAATATCCCTGGGCTCCGTGTTGTACCCTCTGTCCCAGCCCACTTCACCTAGCCCTTGAGTGAACGTTCTTCAAAGGAAGGGGATGGAAGGTGATTTCTTTGTTCCACTCATTGCCCTAATGACAGTGGTCTGAAGATCCCTGTGTTTCCTGCATGACACTTATTCTTCATTGTTGCTGGGCTGGTTCCAGCTTTAATTAAGCTTTATTAATTTTCCCTCAGGCAATTAGCTCTGTCTGGCCTAGTCTACAGTGCTACCTGACCTGCTCTAGTTTTGATTGTGCCATGTCTCTGGAAGTGGATTAAGATCTCTTCTGTAATCCCATGGGATCACAGCCAAAGGAAGTTATAAAGCATCCAGTTGCACCTGAGGAGTGCTGTGTTTTAGACATCTGCCTCCCCAAAGATTTTGCACTGGTTCCTTCACAGGTACAGTTTGATATCACTCTGCTTCAGTACACATTGCTCTGTAGACCGTAGACCTGTTTACATCCTGGTGTGAGAAAATATGCATGACAAGATAGTCGATAGACCTTTCAGACAGTTTGGTGTTTCCTTGAGGTTTCTGCTCCGAATGTGTGTTCTGATACCAACTTTTCTGTGCAGTTGGCAGTGGGCAACTCCTAACATTTCCTGCTACTGGAACGTTTAGGTACTGTTTCTCATATGATCTTGTTCCTATATGATCATGTTCAATTGCATCCGCTGATAGTCTTACCTCCCTAGGAGCATGGAGCACTAGGAATTCATAGAGATATGCCTGAACAGCATGGTGAAGAAGCCATAAAGGAAGTATCTTGGGTAAAGTATTGCTAAGTTTTTCCTGCTCCTTGAAATCCAGTCATCTTGGGATATGGGTGCCTTTAAGATGAAGAGGAAGCTGAAGTTGTTCTTACGGGGTGATCTCACTGCAGATGTTATTTTTATCTTCAGGGGGATTAACAGAATTTCCCCATCATAAAAATCTGAATGAGTTAAATGAAATGTGGCTTCTGTGGGAGTGAACCCTTGCTCATTTACTGTGCTGTGAATATTTCAGTGTAATCTGCCTTCACAAATCTGTTCTTGTACTCAGCTTGAAGTCATGTGTGATTTGTGAGCCTCCTTTTCATCTTTGCTTCCCATGGGCCAGTGTCTGCACTGAGAACAAGCATTCTGGGCCAATCAGCTGCTCAAATGAAATGCAACATAATGTGTTGGCTAAGGGCCAGCGTGGAATAGTGCTTAGAGTGTTGGACTAGGCCAGGAGAGACCCAGACTGAAATCTCCACTCTGCCGTGGAACTGACTGAACAACTTTGGGCGAGTCATTCTCAGTCTAACCTGCCTCACTAGAAAGCTGTGAAGATAACACGGGGAGGGGAGAACCACACACAGCACACTGGGCTCCTTGGAGGAAGGGTGGGACAAAAACTTAATGGATGAGAACAGTAGAACAAACATAAATACGGAAGTAACAAGAAGTAGTCTGTCATGTAGACATGGAACACCAGATTTAGGACATGGACAAATAAAGGTGTGTGGTATGATAATGGTGGACAGGTTGATCCCAACAGTTCTTTCCCTTATGCACACCTCTCTTTGTGTGCTGTGCTGGTCTTTCTCTGGCTGAAATATGAAAATGGGAAGCAGTTAATTTAGTAAATGAGATCTTATTTGTTGGCCTAAGCTAAACAAAAATAATAGTCTTCAAGGATCAGTAAAGGTGTGGGAACTCTCATTAGGATAGGGAAGCATTCAACATTAGGCCATTCAGAGTGCAGCTGTGGTTTTTAGAGAAACACAGAGCTGGAGCTGTGAACAGCAGCCTTGTGCCCCCTCCTCTCCCCTGTGATATGTAGTAATGAAACGAGTGATACAGCATAATGTGCATTTCTCTCCCCCCCCCCCCATGTGCTGTGGTAGTTTGTGATGCAGGACAGGAAAACACAGCAGTGTGATAATCTCATGTCAGTTTTAACTCCTACCTGTTACAGAGAGTGATGAGGAGCAGCTAGATACTGTGCAGCTGTTTTAGGCGGCAACTACATTTTTGTTAAAGGAACTAAATGCTTTCTGCCCATCCTGTTTTTAACCTTTTACTTTGGTGTTTGTATATGTAGCTAATCTATGTGGATTTCTTAAAATATGTTGACTTTCTGTGGAATTGACAGAATGGCCTCAGAAACAAACCCCCCCCCCCTTCCTTGTAGCTTTCTGATGAGCAGTGTGCTATCTGCATTTTTGAGGCCAAACTGGGCAGCAGAGCCACCTGCAGTCCACTGGCTCACTACCCAAGGGAATAAAACATCATAACTTGCCACATCACTCCTTGAGTAAAGAAGGCTGCAGAAAGGGGTGTGCTATAGAGCTGCCTGGTATCACTATTTGTTTAAAATAATATCTGTGTGAATCCTTTCCTGTCACATTTTGAAACGTTGAGCCAAACCAGTGAATGCTCCATATTGACTTTGCAGCCTGATGTATATTTGCAGCCACTCATTTGGATGGCAGTATATATGAAGCTCTATAATTCTATGCTTAAAACAAATCCAAAACTAATACTGTAGGAAAAAAATTAGACAACTCTGTCTCGATTTTGCTTTATTTTGGTTGTACAACAGTTCACACTTTCTTTTTACTGCCTAGAATTTTTCAGTTCCACTATTTTTTGGCATGGCCAAGAGAGAGAGTTGTAATTGGGAGTGCTTTATTATATAAAACATCCAGCATTACAGCTGATTTATGATATAATGTTGGATGTGAAATCAGAGGAGGAGGGTCTGATCCACAGAAGTGGCCGTGTTGCTCTGTCAATCACAAGTGTCAGACTTAGGTCTTTTAAAAGCAGTGGTCCAGGGAGCGGAGTTTGGCTTGAGTTTTTACCATCAATTTTTGAATGCTTAGTTAAAAAGCATCTTGGATTCCTCCCTACATGTTTACATGTTTTTCATTGGAACAATGAGGACTGGAAACCTCCCATTCTCTACCCAAAGGTTGAATCCATATTAAACAATGGATTTGGCTTTCTGCCAATGGATTGTGATTTTTCTGCCTCCCTCCTCCTGCAACAACCCCAAATGCTCCCTGAAATTCTGTTCCCAGACGTTCCTACTCCCTAGGAAGAGGATTTCAGGGACATTTTGGGCTGATGTGGGAGGAGGGAGGCAGGAAAATCACAATACATGGGCAGAAAGGGTGGCACCTATGGAAATGGATAGTCTAGCCCAAGACACCTCAGATTTTCAGAATTCCTTGAAATAACCAGATTCTGTATGACTCTTCAAGCCAATTTGCTTCATATTCCTCGCTGGCACTAATTTTTAACTGTTGACAATATTTTTAGTGAGCAAAAGCTGCAAAACCAGCAGAGTTGAATCTGCCAGCTGGCTCTTTCCCACATAAGCCAATAGGCAAAATATGAATAGTATCAAAGACTTTGGCAGCTTTCTCCCTTTGGCCATTCCGTCTGCTCTCTGCCATTGGTCTGTTGATGGCCACACTTCTTGTGAAAAGGGGGTTTCTAACTGGATTACCAATGTTTAATTTAGCTGCAGTTGATGGGGCTAGATGGGATCAGGCCACAGCAATGGCAAAGTGTTGTTTTTTTAAAAAAAGACCTCTCCCTCTGGTACCCTCTCTCTGATCAAATATGCCCCTGCCCCCTGCTGGACTTAAAGCAGACTGGGAAGTGGAGAAAAGACTTTCAGTTGGAAAAGTGGTGGTGGTGAGTTATAAATCCCCTTACCCCAGTTTCATAACCATATCACCTTTGTGCCTTCCTTTTACAGTTAAATTTCATGGTGGATGGGGGAGGATAACAATCAGATCCCATGGTACATTATAAGGGGGGGCCCGTCAAAGCCTTTTTTGCTTTTTACTCTGCAGGGAGAAGGAGTTAAAGTGTCATTTGTCAGTGTATTGGGGAGGGGGAGGGCTGAGACACATTAAAGGTTTGTGGATGTCCTTGGAATCCAGGGGTATAGAGAGGGTCACACAGGAAGCCTTTTCAGGCCATATTTGGCCACTATTTACCTATTCCTGCTCCTGCGTTTGGTTTATGACTTTGAATGTGGTTGTGCTGGGCCTTATTGTCTCATTATTCATCATATCATGGAACTTGAGAGCACATATTTAAGGTCACTTGACATGGATTTGTTACCTCCTAAGCAGTCTGTCACAGGGGCCATGGTGGCTTAGAGGTTAAGACTCTGCAGCTTGGCAGTTTGAGACCCAAGCACCGCGTGACGGAATGAGCTCCCGTCTCTGGCCCCAGCTCCTGCCAACCTAGCAGTTCGAAACCAAGAAATTGCAAGTAGATAAATAGGTACAGCTTCGGTGGGAAGGTAACAGTGTTCCGTGTGCCTCGGTGTTTAGTTACGCCAGCCACATGACCACAGAGAAGTCTTCGGACAGCGCTGGCTCTTCGGCTTGGAAATGGAGATGAGCACCACCCCCTAGAATCGGATTCAACTGGCTTTCGAGCAAGTCATACTCAGAAGCACTCAGGAATGTGAAGTGATGCACTTTTCCCAGTCTGTTAGATGGTGTGGATGCTAATCAGTTTTAAGTTGTTATGGTTATAGAGCTGGGAACAGGTTCTTTTATATTAAATTGCATTTGAACAAAAACATTGTACCTATGTGACTGTACATACAGGAGTGTGGGGTAGCCCAGTTGAATGGCTCTGAAAACCTGGGATGAGTTTTGTTCTGCATTAATGTGGCTGCAGAACTTCCTGAGGGACCATGAAACACCTCTGTTGCTGTGTGAAGGGCCTGGGATCTCTATGACGCATCTATTAATGCATCCAAGATCTAGTTTCATCCTCTGGGCCAAAGGGTTTAATACCATCTGAAGTATACTTAATGAAGGTTGGGTTTCTCCAAGACTGAACCCTGTTACCTCTGACCATCAGGGATCTCCTGAAATGCAATCCCATTTCAAAAGTT